GTGAGATTCGAGCTGTGCAAGATGGTTTGGCCGGCCAGACGGCAGCCTTTGGTCAGATTGCAGCCAAGCGCTTCAAGGGCCAGCAAGAGCCAGAGGAGGCCGATGACGTGTCTATGTGCGGACGCAGTGAGGCGTCAGCGAGCTGCGACATGGACTTCAGCAACCTCCAGATGGCTGCGGCACCGTCATTGAGCTCCTGGCAGAGTAGCAGCCCACCCCCGCCAAGCAAGCGATCCCGTACCAGTGAGCCTGCGCCCTGGCTACACAAGGCAGACTGGCAGAAACCGGGAACTGCCCCGCACGAGGCCCTGCCAGAAGAAGGCGGCGCTTTCCCTGAAGATGAGGAAGGCGCTCCATCTGCAGAGGCACCCGAGCTCGAGCCCTTCGGAGTCCGTAGGTCACGTCGCAGTGCTTCGGCCAAGGGCAAGGCGAAAGCCGGGCCTGCAAAGCCTGGCAATGCCTCCAGTAAGTCAGAGGCAGCAGCAGGCACTGTTCGGAGCCTGCTGAGTGCCAAGCAGGCAGCGTTCGAGCCTAAGAAGATGTGGGACTCGAGCACAAAGCCCAAGGCTGTAGACACCATGGTGAAGCAGTTGGAGAAAGGCCTGGACAAAATTCTGGGTAGCGACGATGCTGATCATCTGCAGCTGGTGGAATCCGCGAGCAGCTTCATCGACTTCACAAAGAAGTGGGTCCGGGTGATGACGGAGGTGCGCAAGGGGTACGAGTGGCTGAAGGAGCCGCTGAAGCTCGAAGATCGGGAGACCCTGATGGAAATCCCTACGAGCTTGTTTGCGGAGATTTGCATGTTCATAGCTCAGGATGCGCTCACAACAAAGGCCCGATCAGGAGTTGAGGAGGCCCGGCATAAGTTAAGTGCTCTGTGCCAGTGCACATTTCGCCATTTTCAATCCTCTGCCCAGTTTTGCCAGTCAGGGCAGGGTAATTCCTTAGGTTTAGGTTTAGGGTTTGGGGGCTAGGGTTTGTTCCAGGCTTAGGCTACGGTACGGTGTACGGTCCGACCTTAATACAATAATATAATAATTAATATTAAACAATACCCCGCCCGCCTAAGCCCAAGCTGTTAAATGATAAATGCTGACAGGAGACGGCTCGCGTTGAGCTCTTCTTTGAGTTCCTGTCCTTGCGGGCCACGGACTCCGGCATCCTGACGCTATGTGACTACAAATGTGCAGTTGCCCGCGCCCATCCCGATCACCCAGAGCGTGCTCTGAAGCATGCATCCCTGCTACAGATCCAGATGATGAACCTGTGGTGGGAGAAATTGCTGCGTCAGCGCGAGCCAACTAAGATTCGAGAGTTGACTGCGCTGCGCCTGGGCAGCACTGTGGTGTGTACAATGTAGGATTCTTGCGCTAGATCCAGCCTGTCAAGACTTGTGCCAGAAAATTGCTTTGACATGGCCTTATCCCGCCCCGCGTGGTCAAGGGTTTTCTCAGGATGCGGCCGTTGACCGCCATGGAGCTGACCAGCTTGCCTCCCGACTATGTGCCAGCAAAGGAGGAGGCAACGCTTCAGTGCCGCTATGCGCCCAGCGTCCTCTTTGACGCCCAAATGGTTCGTATTCTGGTCGTCGATTATGGCGAGGATGGGGGTTGGAGAGATGCGGTAAGGGGGGCCGGGGGGGAATTTGATTCGACAGTGTTTGTACCGTTCGGTTCCACTGCAGTTTGCAGAGTAATGAGTAATGAGTAATGCGGATCTCAGTGTGTGTTTGACAGGATGCCGCAGTATGATGTGGATGACGTGTCACAGCACGTAATGTATTTTGTCATGCTACCCCAGTGTTGTGTGGGAGTGCGTGCAGTAGTGACTCCTATCACCTATGATTCATGAGCAGTCTGAGTAGTGCTTTTGAGTGATGTCATGTCTATACAAGCCGGTGTTGCGAGGACGGCGCCGGCGGGACGGCTGCGCAGAACAGGGCTGCGAAAGCCTGCCTCGAGAAACGCACGCTGATGGGGGAGAAGCTGCAGAGCTTCCTCAAAGTTGGCGCGGGGAAGAAGTTCGGCCCAGTTTGGAGCAATTCGGGAATCGGCGGGGTTAGGGTTTTTTGGTTTTGAGGAGTTTGTGGGGCTTATAGGACTTATAGGCCAGCTATAGGCTATATATATAGGCTATAGGCTATAGGCTAACTCAGCTAGGAGCTTATTTTACTTATGTTTTGTTGCAGCATAGGTTGAGGGTTTTCGGTTTAGGTATAGGCGTGGGCTTAGGAGTTTAGGGTGTGGTCTCAGTTAGTCCGACGGCCAGTCGTGAGTAGTAGTAACTAGTATCGTAGAGTTGAAGTTGAAGTATACGTCGAGGTGGAAGATGTGGGAATGGGTTTGGTGAGCTTGAACTTGGCTTGAACCAAGGAAGATGGTGTCGATGATCGTGCTGGCGTCCAGGAACTGCCGAACAACCGCTTCCTTTGGGGATGATTGCCAGCGCTGTCTTGAGAGCTTCCCAGAAGAGCTCGGCACCGGTGGTACCATCACGGAGCCCTTTCCCTTCCTCCTCCTCTGCCAGGAGGACGCAAAGGTCGACGCCTTGACGGCTGCTCTGTTGTGCGCAGATGGGCTGGATGAAGCGGAAGGCCCAGCCGAGACGGGCGATGAGAGATTTGCCAGCCTTCGCAAGGAAGTCGCTGCAGCAAAGGACAAGCTGCGCCAGCTGGTGTCGCCAGCGGTGGAGCTGCTGACACGTGCTGTCAAGACGATTGCTGTGGCGCATGCGGATGATGCCACAGCCGTGAGCGCCTTGACTGTGAGTCCTCGCGCCTTTCCCGGTGTCTGCAAGCTCGGGCGCATGGTGAAGGCGCGGCCAACAACTGAGTCTAGCACCCACTGAACTCAGACTCAGATAGATCAAAATAAAGCATTCGAGTAACGTCAGTAACATAAATTAGCCAGTTTAACTAACCAGTCAGTCTAACAGTCTAACTGTCTAACTGCCTGACTGAAGTTCGACTAGACCAGACCAGACTTATGACTTAAGTCAAGTCACTTAAGTCCCGCAGCGTGAAACCTATGCCATCCTGGTGCAGGTTGATGGCTTCGGTGGGATGCAGGACGCGACC